AAGGGGATGTTACTAGAACTTCTGCAGTAAGTCCTAGTCTCCTGTGAGCTATGGCAGCACAAGGCAAATTAACTTATTATACAGAAAAGGTAGAAAAAATGAGACTTGGAGAAGAGCCTGAGCTTTGGGCCTGATCAGTGCTGCTCTGGGCAGCAAAGACAAAAACCCCTGAGCTTGCTGCACCTTTTATTCAGTACATGGGGAGAAACAAAGGTAACAGATAATGGGAGCGGCAGAATTCCTAGATCAATGAGGAACTATGCAGATGAAGATGTGGGTCCTCCCATGGTGTCTCCCACAGGTGTGGTCTTGCACTGGAGCATCATGGGATCCTTGAGGTCTCAGTTGTGACTGGAGGCCAAGGTGGAATCATGTCTCAAAATCCCATAGTTGCCCTGTAGGCAGGAGAACTAGGCCTAATCAAATGATTTTTCCTAAAAATTATGTAGCATTGCTCCCTACAGCCATACAAAATGGTCACAAGCTTTTTTTGAAGGGGGGAATCTACACCTGACAGCAAAGTCACAACATTATTAATGAGGGCTGTGATGTTTGTTAATGTTCCCATTTTGGTTCAAACAATCAGCTTGTCCATCTATATTGTTTAAATAAAGTTAGACTTGGCTAGAGAGCGTATTCTAGAGAACTGGTTAGCTGCTTTTTAACCAATGCAATTAGATCACCATAAAAGGGGGGGAAAGGAGCCCATAAAACTTTGAAACTACTTCTACCCTCAAAAAATAAAATAAAGAATACCCATACCTCTGCAGCTAACCCTGACAACTACCTTCATTCACAGTGCTTTATACTTAAACCATGATGGGGGAAATGAATAGAAGCAGAGGGCCACTGCTTTTAAACATTTCACGACAATCCCAATGATACTTTTAGCCTCTGCTCGTGCTTTACAACAGTGAATCGGGACAAGACAGATTTTCTAAAGTGCATTTAATCACTAAAGGACTGGAAATGTCTGGGCTTTTATTCTGTAATGTTTCTAAGACCTCAGTGATAGATCTCCCTCTAATTTAGGGTGGCTGCTGTATATAATAGCTACTTTCTTTCCAACATGCCCCTACTCCCACCAGAAGAGTAACCTAATACATGCTCTCCTCCTAGCAACTAGTGGTGTCAAAGGCTTCTCCAGTCCCTAGTCACTACCTCACTCAACCCCACCTCAGCTCCTACAAGCCCCACTCCCACTCCTATAAAAGGCACTTCCTGTCCTGGCCATATTGCTTTTGTCTCTCCTTTGTTCAGAGAAGACAGCCCAGCAGATCTGTTCCCCTAATAAAGGCTTGTTGTGGCCTGGTCTGGTCTTGGTTTTTGGCCTTTTACCTGTCATTTCTGGTGCTGTGACTTGAATGGTAGTTGTTCCCCTAAGGGATGATTCCCCCATGGAACAGGGTTGATTGGGCTTTTGGCTATCAACACCAGACCACATTTGCTGAGCCAGGACCCTCTCAGGGCTTTCTACCCTTGCCATTGCTGACGCTACACATCCACACTGGTCACCAATGTCAGGGTGAGTAGGGAGTTCAGCCTCCCTCTCATTGGGTTTTCTGTCTCATTCTCTCTCCCTCTGGGGACTTCTCAGAAATCCAAGTGCTTGGTCAGAGAAACCCCCTAGGCCACTGGGCCCAGGACTGTGCCCCTGGGGGATGCCCCATCAGCCCTGATCTCATTCTCTCCCTCTGGGAGACTCACTTGGAGATTGTCAAAGGAGATGAGGAAGCTCCTCCCCTTTGTCCTCCCAGGGAGCTGCCTCCTTCTCAACCGCTATAACATGCAGGCCCAACAATCCAAACCCCCTCCCTCAATGCCTCTGGGCTGCCTCCTGGCACAACTCAAACCCCTCGGATTGCTGGGACCAGACTTTAAGCCAAAAAGACTTGTTTTCTATTGTAATCAGGTTTGGCCTCAGTATAAATTAGATAATGGGTTCCCATGGCCCAAAACTGGCACTTTAGATTTTAACCTACTGCATGATTTACACAACTTCTGTCAGCACAGTGGCCAATTGTCAGAAATCCCCTACTTACAAGCCTTTTTCTACCTATGCTCTCAATCCTCCCTCTGTCAAACCTGTTCTCCTCCTCAAGTACTCCTACCCTAAGCTGATCACTCACAGGTCTTACCTCTCCCACCTTATAACCCTGTTGATAGGGAAAAATTTTAAAGTAAGTTTAGTAGATTAGTTATTAAAGTAGTTGTGGAAGCAGAAATAGGTAGTGTATCCCTTTAAAAGCTTGCCTTAGCCTATTGCTTTTGTTGTTTAAAGTGAAGGTTATATAGCTCCTTTGACCTGTAGCTCCACTATAGATAACATCCTAACTAAAGAATGAAGTGAAAATCCTTGAACAAACTTGTGATATATGTGCCTTAACTGTCATGTGTTTAGGGCTGTAATCAGTGACAGAAACCACCTGTGTCTAACCATTAAACAAGAATTAGAACTTTATTTACTTAACAAAGACCACTAGGGATGAGATAATGACTGACAAAAGTATAAAAGGTGATGGACAAAGAATGCAGGGTGGGGACTCTGACCAGACCAGTTTCTGGCAGTCCCACCTTGCTAGCAAGTAAAGACCTTTCCTATTTTACCCGAATTCTGTGTCTTTGTGCATTTCTTTCCACAATTCTGGACACTGTAAGCTCTTCTTCCATCTCTTTGTGTGCTTCTTTGTCTCTGCCACCTTGTGACCCTCCCTTGCCTCCTCCCACATCTCCACAATCTTGCATAAACCCACCCGGCATCCATTCTCAATACTCCACCCTTCCAACATTGGCCCCAGCCACATAGATGCCTCTCAGAGAGGTTGCCAGGATGAGGGCATTGTTAGAGTACATGTCCCCTTCTCTTTCTCCAATCTTTCTCAAATTAAAAAACACTTAAGCTCCTTCTCTAATCCTGATGTCTATATCAAAGAATTTTGTTACTTGACTGTCCTGTGATCTGACTTGACACAATATCTATATGATACTGACTTCTACCCTTCCCCCAAAGACAAGAAAAGAGTTTGGATGGTGGCTCAGACTACAGCAGATACATTTTATTCTGCTGATAACACCAAGCTAGTGGGAATGCAGGCCATCCCAGAGGAGACCCACAATGGGACTCTCAGCTAGGCCAGGCACATAGAGGCTGCAGAGACCATATGACTCTCTGCCTCATAAAAGGTTTTAAAAGACATCTCACAAGTCTGTCAACTTTGATAAGACTAAAAGTAACTCAGACCCACAAAAATAAAATCTGACACAGTCTCTGTCATGGCTTACTGAGGCCCTTCAAAAATATACCAAAATTAATCCTACCTCCCAGCCTGGCATTCCCTTTATCTCTCAGTCAGCCCCTGATATTAAAAACAGCTAAAAAAAAAAAAAAAGCTCTGAAGCGCATAAAACAAAGTAGTGAGAAAAAACACTCCTGACTAAAAGCCAAGGCAAGCACTGTTATCCCAAAACAAAGCCAGTGAAATTACAACTGTGCTCTACCAGACATCAAGAGATTTTACAAGAAAAATCAAGTTACAAATTTTAGCTAATTAATAAATATATTTGTTTCAATTTGAGTTGATGTTTAATTGGTATGCTTAAAACACTTCTTGTACATTGTAAATTCTTGAACTGTAATTATAGGGTTAACTTTCTCTTTTCTGTACTTTGTTGATAAAAAACTAAAGGTTACTACTGTTCTATTGGCAGTCAACCAAATTTAAAGTGTAACAATCTGAAAAAAAGTGGGGGGACACTTCAAAATTTTAACAGCTAAAGACAAGTTTGTTATAAAAGGTTTATAGTGAGTCAGAGGCAAAATATTTAAAAAGCTATAAGTAAAAGATATATTTTCGATATAAAAGGATTTTATATGATTGTCTTGTTAGAAGGACAAGACCAAAAGGCCTAGGTATGTCAAGAAGCTGTGCAGAAGTGATTTATGAAGGAAATATATATGTTTGCTTGTTGTTTCAAGTTTGTTATAAAAGGTTTACAGGAATAGAGTTTTCATTC